CTCCCTAGGAAGCGTACGTAAGACTGCAGCCTTAGTCTGATATTTTCCCATGATGTCTATCTTCATCACGAGGGCTGAACAGAGGAACATGGCAATGTAGGCTCTTGGTCAACCTGCCTCTGAAGCATTAACCTACCAAAGTATATCATGAAAAGCACCAACAGTGCCTTGTGTTATGCTGCTAGGACTGTTGTAAGCCAGAAAATAGCCTATCTCCTGAGTTTAGGCCAGTAAAACTCAGAAACATGAGGAGTTCGGAGTCCAACATTATTTATGATTCACGTATTAGCTGTATTTCTGCCCCAATTTTTTTTTGGGGGGGCAACTTGCAAAATCATCAGTTTCATAAATTAATAGGCTACCATAGCTTCTCTATTAGAAGCATACTCAAGGATTTACAGAGGTACGCATTATCACATTTATTGTGGCCCCATCACATTTTCAAAATGTCTGATAGCCAAGTTCCACTACTTTTCGCAGGCTGGAAGTATGCATTGTTTTCAGTGACAGTCTGTAGCAGTTGAGGCTGTGAAATGTGCTAGGGGCAAACATTGTTGTTGTTGTGAATTCTATTGCTGTTGACAACATTATCTGACCAATAGTACGCAAAATCTCTTAACTGGTATTTGAAGCATACAGTATGTCTTAATGAGATGAAAGCAAACTGTGGCTCCAATTGAGAAAATGTTTGATATACATTGACTTTTAGTGACTTTTTTGTGGGCTGATTCATTTTCCACATTGATCAAAAGGTCGACAACTCTGGGGAACCTTTCCTTAAAAAGGCAACAACTTTGGGGTTCCATCCCCCCAAAAAGGTCGACAACTCTGGGAAAGGGGGGTACTGGGGGGATCTTTGCAACACAGCGCTGGATATGCTTAAGACGGCCCTGTGGATTACACAATCTTCCTTGGGTGTCATCAGTAGGCTTTAGGGATTTGTACCTTATGCTTGATGGCAGAAAGTGAGGAGGATTAAAGAACCTTTTAATGAGGGTGAAAGAGGAGAGCGCAAAATATGGTCTGAAGCTCAACATCAAAAAAACGAAGATCATGGCCACTGGGCCCATCACCTCCTGGCAAATAGAAGGGGAAGAAATGGAGGCAGTGAGAGATTTTACTTTCTTGGGCTCCACGATCACTGCAGACGGTGACAGAAGTCACGAAATTAAAAGACGCCTGCTCCTTGGGAGAAAGGTGATGGCAAACCTAGACAGCATCTTAAAAAGCAGAGACATCACCTTGCCAGCAAAGGTCCGTATAGTTAAAGCCATGGTTTTCCCAGTAGTGATATATGGAAGTGAGAGCGGACCATAAAGAAGGCTGATCGCTGAAGAATTAATGCTTTTGAATTATGGTGCTGGAGAAGACTCTTGAGAGTCCCATGGACTGCAAGAAGATCAAACGTATCCATTCTTATGGAAATCAGCCCTGAGTGCTCACTGGAAGGACAGATCATGAAGCTGAGGCTCCAATACTTTGGCCACCTCATGAGAAGAGAAGACTCCCTGGAAAAGACCCTGATGTTGGGAAAGATTGAGGGCCCAAGAAGAAGGGGATGACAGAGGACGAGATGGTTGGACAGTGTTCTCGAAGCTACAAACATGAATCTGACCAAACTGCGGGAGGCAGTGGAAGACAGGAGTGCCTGGCGTGCTCTGGTCCATGGGGTCACGAAGAGTCGGACATGACTAAACGACTAAACAACAACAACCTTATGCTTTATTCTTACCTCCACCTTTGGCCTCTAAAGTCTTTCCCACACTGAGGGGTCCACTTTTCTCTTCTCCTTTGGCAGAGGGAATATCCAGCAGGCAGGGGAACCTGGAATTGGATATCTGCCGCCTTGCTTCTTCCTTCTCCTTTTTAATCAGCAGGGGCCTGGATCCATGCAATCCATCTGCAAAGTGGGGACCCGACACCTGCACAATCTCCATTGCACAATCTCCCCTGAAGCCCCCCTCCCCAACATATAAAAGTTGTGTATTCCCAGTGATGGCAAACAAATGTGACCAGCAGAGCTGACTACAAAGACCATTTGCATCCCTGGGTGAAGATAATGCACACCTGTAGGGATAATACAACACATAGGCTACCATAACTTCTCTATTAGAAGCACACTCAAGGATTTACAGGGGTACACATTATCACATTTACTGTGGCCCTTTGGGCCACTGCCACACAAGGGTACAACCTTTTCAAATATTCAGCATTTAGAATATGCAGAAGTGTCTCCAAAGAAGAAGACAAATCTTTGACACACAGGCATTCATTAAGGTCATTATCTACAGAACTGGGCAGATGTCATCAGTTGGGAATGCCATTCTTCCTTTCAGTATCAGGAAGAAAAACCTGTTCTTCTACGCTGCCATGTTGGCACTGAACTTTCATTTCCCCCTATACTTGAGTACTCTCCCTGCTCCAGCCAGTTTCTTGCCCAGCGTTGACTAGACCTAATTCTGTGAAGAATATATACAGAAGCAGCTCCTGTGCATCCTTCAGTGCGCTGTGCCTGGTAGCTCTGTCTGTGACCCCATGACCAATGCATCATTAGAAAATGAGTGCTTTGGTTTGCTAGGCAGAAATGCCCCTGCAGGGATGAACTAATGTGCTATGATGTACACCAGAGGAATTCACCATAATGAAAACAGTTACTGCAATACTTACATTCTACTTGTAAGGACAAAGGAAGCAAGCCAGACCCGCCAAAACATAGATTCAGAAATACAATAAAGCACATATTTTCCACATATAAATTAGAACTGATTTAGAGCGGCAGTCAGCTGAGAAAAATGTATTCAATTTCCCCCACATTTCATCATTCTTATTCATGTAAGCAGTTCCATTAAAAAAGAAGCCCTGAATGCTTCAAAAGCAAAAAATGGGTATATACTGAATGCAATTGTGCTAGGGGGCTTTACTTAGGATTACTTGTGTCATGGGATCAAGGAGAACAATGCATATTCTTCCTTGTTCCATCTATTACTTCCTTCCATTATTATAGGCTGCAGAAATGGATAATGGTAGGGTAGAGATAGCCAATGTTTGCAGGACAAATGGACAGTTCTGCCTACACACAAACAGCAGCAACTTTTCTCTCTGTAATTGTACATCTACCTGTAATTGTATATCAGAAGGTTAGTGTGAAATGGGCTGCATGTAGATTTCTGTGAACTACTTCGCCTATATCCAGACACCAAATAGATTGTCACTAACATTTCACTCTTGTAATTGTAAACAAATGACCAAGGAGAGATTATGTCTATTCCCTGTAAGAAGCTGCATTTGTGAACTGATCCTTTCACTGTCCATGGTAGTCATTATTCAAGGCTTCTTTTACTTACATACAAAATAAATGGGTACTATATTGTGTGTCAAGGATTAGGTTAGCTGCTCTTTGGACTAGGAAGCTGCTGAAAAGAAACTGAAAAACTTCCCTTCCTCCATATTTTATGGTGGGATCTTTACAGTGCAAATTTGGGAACAAAAGAGTGAAAATCAGTCCTCTTGAAACTGGATAATTTTGCTGTGCAAATGCTTGTAAATTCAAAGCTGTATTTTCCAATTAATAGCACCGTGCATAAATCAGGGAAATGTCTATAATGTACAAATTACCACCCCAGATGTAACTTTTACTGGCTTAGCTTGCATTTTTTCATTTTGTGGGACTGAGTTTTACCCAATTACCATACATGACACAGGTGTGGCTGGATAAATATTTGAGTTGATTTCAGTAAACCTATTTCATTCACCTGCAAGAAATTTGTATGACACTTGAGGCCTAAAGCAGAATGACGTCCCCACTGAAATGTGCCTCACCCACAACTTATATTTCTTTAGATGCCTAGTAAAAACCCAACTCTACCCCCTGCTACCAGGTTTTTAGAAGTTGATGGGTTATTATTTGCCAGTTGCATTATTTATGAATATGGTGTCTTGCTTTATTTTGGTAAAACTCCTTGTGATCTTTCTTTGGTGAAGGACAGCATAAAATCTCTTAATAAAGTAAATAAATAAATACAACAAACCCTTGTTTGCAGTACTGTTTTAGGCATTTAGGCAAAGGTTTCCTCCAACAATGGTTACCTGTGTTAAGTTGCAACAGAAGCACACTATGCAGGTTCTAAAATACCCTTTAAATTACAATAACTAAATCTTTCTAAAGTGCAATGACATGCTAACATACAGGTTTGAAAGAAAATAGGGGGTTTTTTAAAGGGAAAAAAAGAGTGACCGTAGTGTAAACTTCATACCCTCGCTGGGCCACGAAAAAGGTTGATGCCTTTTTAAGTGGCATCCAATTTCACAGAGTTAAACCTTTCCAGTAAAATATTGCTTCATGTGAGACAGTAATACCAACATCTGCATGGCCCTCTGAGAAAGCTGAAATTCAAGATAAGCCCAAGCTGTTGCTACTTGAATCATTGATGGTAGCAAACCACATTTTAAACAAAGGTTGAATTCAGTGTTTAAAAATGTGAGCCACAGGCAATAAATTAGGCAAAAGAAGAGAAAGAATCCCAAGGGAATTCATGATGTACTGCAGACTTGCCATGCTTTTAAGGAGGCAGGGGGTTATCAAAAGAAAAGCTGTTTACATCCACACAACGTTTTGAAGAAAATCCTAGGCAACTTTAGTGAGACATTTCCCAAGGAGATAATATAGACTGCTGAAAGGAGGAGGTACACACAGCACTGCACTTAAATTTCCCTTGAGAACTTCTTGGTAGAGAAGGTCAATGTCACATCCACAAGGAGGGAAAACCCTAATTTTTATCCATCAGGTTTCCTCTAACCAATGAGAGTTTCTGAATCAGCTTCTTCCGTTCCAAGCGTAATTAGCAGAAGGTGATGTGATGGGGGTGAGAGAGAAAGAAGGTTCTTGATACGATCTAGCTGAGTACTGTAGAGACTTACTGGCAGTGACCCCAAGGTTTCATTAGAGTTGTAAGGGGCCATGAGGGTCATCTAGTTCAACCCCTGGCAATGAAGGAATCTTTTGCTCCACATCAGGCTTGAACCCATGATTTGAAATTGAGAGTCTCATGCTCTACCATCTGAGCTCAGACAGGGATCTCTCCTGGCCCTACTTGGAGATGCTGGGGACTGAAACTGGGATCTTCCACATGCAAAGCAGATACTGTGCTGTTTGCATCTCACTAAATATAACACTCACTAGGTGAGACCAAAGGGACGCGGGTGGCGCTGTGGGTTAAACCACAGAGCCTAGGACTTGCCGATCAGAAGGTCAGCAGTTCAAATCTCTGTGACGGGGTGAGCTCCCATTGCTCTGTCCCTGCTCCTGCCAACCTAGCAATTTGAAAGCACGTCAAAGTGCAAGTAGATAAATAGGTACCGCTCCGGCGGGAAGGTAAACGGCATTTCCGTGTGCTGCTCTGGTTTGCCACATGACCCGGAAGCTGTACGCTGGCTCCCTCGGCCAATAAAGCAAGATGAGCGCCGCAACCCCAATGTCGGCCACGACTGGACCTAATGGTCAGGGGTCCCTTTACCTTTACCTTTTTAGGTGAGACCACTGCACTGGCTGTGCCTGCTGAGAATTCTATAGGCTCCCTTTGACACAAGCAAAGAAGACTGGTTAAATAGGCAAGAAAGGGAAAGAAGACCTGCTAGCTGATTCTCCCCTCTGCCCCTATTTATTTTCACTTCTTAGAGGCCAGTTTCCCCTAAAAATCAAGGGGAAATGGCAAGGGCAAAAAGACAAGAACATAAAGAATGGATCAGTCAGCAGTTACTTCTTCAATGCATATTTGATTCAGCTTTCTTTCCCTGTTGGTGGGGGAATCTTCCAAATTCTCACATGCAGAGTTAGGTTGCCTTCATGTGATAAGATTAATGCCTACTTGGGCATTATACTTGTATAATATTCTAAAACAGTTTTCAGTTTAAGACTTCTTTAACAAATTTATTCATCCTCCCAACTACGGAGCAATGTCAACCTTTAATGTTCAGTTTTACAGATGGGCGAATTGACGCAGAAAGCAGCCTACCCAGGGCCACCCAACAAGTCTGGACCTGAGCTAGGGGATTTGAACCGAGATTTCCCAGGTCCAAGTCTAGCAAACGATTCATTGGACCACACTGCCTCTCAGATCCAGATGCGGTATGAGTCATGACCCTTTAAACAGGCTGAAAGCTCTTTCCTGTAGATAGGATAAATTAATCATGTGTATTTACTAGCACTGAAAATGAGTCAAATTCTTTGAGTCAGCATTCAAAATCCAATCTCACTCCATTCTAAGACTCCTATTTTATTAATAAAGAGGTATAGCTAGGGCTATGATCACAAAAATCTTCACTGCTTTCACGCACCTTCAAGACTATTTTAGCCTATTGCTCGGTATTCTGCCTCCAGTATTATGGCTTTCCTTTTATACTGAAAGAAATAATTTGATATCACTTGATATGTTTGAACTATTTCTGAGCCATATGTGCATGATGATGCAATGAAATCCCAAGCTACTGCTATACTATTATAAATTCTGTCATAACACAGTCACCAATGACACTAACTTAAATGTGGAGTAAAGAATAAAACAAAACAGATGTACATGGAAGGGAGCCGCTTGCTCAAATAAAGCTTTTTGCAACAATCCATAGCAATCTTCATTGGGAAGTGGCACCTCTAATACAAATAGTAAAAGTAAATCCCAACTAATCTTAGGAAATTGTCTCTTGTTGATTTGTTCCTGCTTCTTCATAGACAATTTATTATTTGCAGAATGCTGCAAATTATAGTAGAATAACATTTTCAGAACTGATTTGCTACAGATTCTGAAGGATCGGTTTTCAATACTAGTGACAGCGCTCTCAAGAATCTCTGATATACACACTGCTTCTGTTCCCCAGAGATCATTTGGAAATGCTTTCATAAGACAGCAGGGATATTAACATAACCATCTTCCAAGACAGCACCCTAAGGCAATAATCTTATGCACCATTAGGCTGCTTGAATCCCAGTGACTTCAATGGGCTTTAAGTAGTCTGACTGCAAACGGGATTTCAGCCAACCAACTTACCGTACTTAACTGCTTCTATTATAAGCATACTGAAATCTCTTCATGCAGTGTTTGTTTGAACTGCTGATTATTAAGAACTTTGAACCAAATACGTGCTATTAAATAAATAATATTACAACTTTTTGTTTATTTTCCCTGTTATTTTGGAGGACACTACGGTTTCCTCATTGCTTTATTTGTGCCATTAAAAAGGACAATTACTAGAGCCAGGCCTATGTACAGTACAGTACACTATAGTAGCATGACAGGAAAGTAAATTACATGGGAAAGAAAGCCACAAGGGAAAGAATACCACAACATGCAGGAACTACAAATATGACTTGGGGGGAAGGGAGCATGATAAAAAGAAATTCCCATGAAAAATATTAAATTACCTCAAAACACCTGGCTACTAGTCATGCTGGTTAGGTTCTACCTCCACTGTCAGAGGAGGCACCTATGAATACCAGTTGCTGGAAACCACAGGAAGGAAGAGTCTTGCTTGTGTGCATCTTGCTTTTTGACCACTTTGAGACCAGGGTGCTGGCCCGATCTATTTTTACAATTTAACCCCTGTGTTGCAAACAGTAGTCAGTAATATCCAAGGCTGTTTTCACCAGATAAGAATCCAATATATTGCTTCTTTCAGAGACTTGCATGGTCTTCAAAGACTTTCAGAGACTTATAAGACTTATTATTTTTGGTTTTATGTTTTCAAGAGAATCCATTAAGAGTATATATTTTGGGATCTTCAGAGATTCAGAAGTTTTCTGTTTATGTGATTTCATATATTTCATATTATATAAAGAGTGTATATTGATACTGTATCATTGTATTTGGTCATCGTGTTGCCTTGGATATTACCCATCTATTTTTACGCAGATATCTATTTTTACGGAGATATTACTACTTTAACGCAAAAAATTAATATAATTTTTTATGGCTTGACCTAGTAATTAGATTTCAGTCTAAATCAGTGGTTTCCAATCTTTTTTTGGCCTGCCTCACCTAAGTATCTCTAAAATCCTGACACCCCCCTCCCCCTGTTACATATAATTCTTATTATTCAAAAAGTGAACTATTAATGTGGAGGAAGCCTAAAAGGCCATTACTGTTAAAAACTCATTCTCAAATTGCGCCCCTTAAAAATCAAACTTCCCCCCTGTGGGGCATGCGCCCCACGTTGGGAACCACAGGTCTAAATTATCCTTAAAAGTCTATGTTATCCTTAAAGCTGCATGTTAGCCCCATTGAAAATGCTGGAATTTACTTTGGTGCAAACATGCATGGATTTGTAGCACAGTCTAAATCTAAATTCAATATGCTACAAATGGTACCTTTGGCAATTGATATAAATACTAAACCATTCTTACCTTTTCTTTGCTGCCGTTTGGGACTCGTATAACGCCACTTTTGGTTCTGCCCTTGGAACATTTCGGGCCCGCTGCCTTCTCTTTCTACTTGGTGCAACATCAATAATATCTGGGCTACCAAGTAATGAGTCTCTTCTGGGTTTAGCTACTAAAGAGAGAAGAGGTAGAAAATGACAAAATAGATTATCATTTATGAGAATGTTATATGACTGTTTTGCAAGTTGCACTGCTCAGCACATAATTTTTCAGGCAAAACATAAATCCACTCCATACACCCCAAACATAGTAGGTGCTAGGAAGTACTCTTCACCACTAATAATAGCATCCAGGTGTTTCCTACCTATTAATAAATATCCACATTCTGATATAATCTCCCAAATGCAGATAATGGAATCCAAGTGAATCTGGTTTTACAATGATTCTACAAATACATTTGTATTTGGTAGTTCAAGAATTTGGAAAGATTTTATATTTTTGAAATCATAAAACAATGCATTAATCAGTTAATGATAGCTCTATTCACTTGCTTAAACTTCTTGGTTGGATCTACTGTTTCTTACAGCAATTTATTTCAGAATGCACAGGCCGAAACTTGAAGAGATCAAAGTTTGCAAGAGAAGAAGACAGGAAATTCATTCTCCAGATTTGGCGGTCTTGTTTTGCAAAGCAGCTGCATAGTGCATAATGTCATTTTTATTCCTCCCTAGGTGAAAATCTTAGAGCAGGTTTGCTTTTTTCTCCATTACTGTTTCATGAATTGGACCACTGGATGGGCCCAGTATTTACACAGTACTAATAACACAAAACTTTTAAAGGCAGATTGTGTAGTTGCATTCCTATACAGGCCATTCTAATCACAAGTAAAAATAAATAAATACAAGGGTATTGCCTCAGATTTTGTTGCTGCTGCTGTGTTTTTCTTATAAAATTTAGGTTGAATGTGTTGGGATTCCTATACATTACACACAAAATGAATAGCTGGTTTGGACACCCAAAGAGATTACAAAAAAAATACTCTAATATCCGTTTTTGCTGGCGCAGGGCATTAAGAATACGACTTTATCAAAACATCTAGAAGCTTGACTATCAAATACTTTACAAATCTGTGATTATATAGATACGGCTATATTCCTAAACCCATCAATAGTGGCTTAGATACAATTAGCCCTTTCTTGTTTGGGCTAGGAGTAGGGCTTCTCTCATTTTCTTGAATGCCCACCACAATTATAGGTCCTTCGTGTTCCGCACATGATTCTAGATTTACAGAAGTGGGTGAGTGGAAACAGGGTGGGGTGGGGGGTGGGGACTCCTGTTGTGTGTGTATGTGCAGAATGCTATCCATGGTTCTTTGGATCAAAGCCTATATTTCCTATTCCAAAAAGGTTTGCTTTACTTAGATAGACTCTACTATAATGTTACATAGAACTTGTTAGGCAGCCAAGCTACAATTCCACTCACAGTATCTTCCCAAAGATCTTAATTAATTCAGAGAAGTGCTTGCTATTAAGAAAGATTTCCTAACCGAAAAGATGCATTACTTTTTATAGCTAATAATAAACTTTATTTAATACCTCCTCAAATGAACAATGGGACTTCAAGAGGGCGGGGGAGGGGAATGAAGTCAAGGTTATATGCGGTTAAAACCAGAACAAATGCTTCAAGCTGAGAATTCACTGC